AAATGTATGTTTAAGAGAATGATAAAGATTAGATAGAATATGAAATGGTTTAATATGTAACCATTCAATTTGTTGAAAGACCTGGTGTTTTAACTGAAGATTATTATAGTTTGAATTTATAACTGAGAAAAAAAGGAGCAGATTTAAGATTTTTTCTTCTCTCTGCTACCTTTCATTTCATCATTGTTTTCTTTTTTATTGTACATGTAATTTTGTTTTTATGGACTGAATAAAGTTTGAAATAAATAAAAGAAGTGAGCTACAGTTTGTGTGAAGAATACTGATATGAAAAGTGAAACATCACTCATTAACCTGTAGAGTTCATCATCCATGAACCTCACCACACGTACAGTACTTGGCATGAAGACAAAATAAAGAATAGAAACAAGTAGTTGTTTTTTAAAAGCATTGTTTATCACAGTTGATACATCAAACTCATCAGTACCCATGAAACTGCACAATACAAAAGCAAAAATATAACAAAAACCTTAAAATAGGTATTGCATCTTCTAATATCTCACCCTTCATTCATAAATATTGTTTTTGATTTCAGTTGACTGTAGTTTCTTACAACAGAATCACAGTTTCTTCCTGAACAGCCATCATTCTTTAAAGTCGATGAGTTTAATGAGACAAAAGACAATCAGCAGACATTTGGTGAAAACCACCAGACTCTGGGAGTTCTTGTGAAAACAAGTAGTGAGAGCAGCACAGCTGATCCTGTGTTGTGATGAGGTCAGCACATCCACTGAAGCCTGCAGAAAAGAAAACATGAGAACATTTTTACACATTTGAAAGATTTCAGCATTCTGGTGCAGTGAGAAGGACGACTTATAACAACAGGATTAAACAACAGTTCACACAGTGTGTGAGTCCAGTGTAGTCTGGAGTTCACAGTGTTTCTAGCTGACTTGAATTTAGCAGAGCAGTAAAATATATTTCCCTTCTGACATGTTCTGCAGACAGAAACTAAGGCCCGGTCCTCATAAGAACTGTTTAACCTCCAAGAGCAATCTTTGTTTTTCCTAAAACATGGAGTCTTTGAAATATATTGTTAATTACCAGTAAAAAAATAAATAAACAAAAAAGAATCAGATTTTAGTTTTTTTAATTAAGCATTAGGTCTTGTAGAGTGAAAGCAGACTTACACATCGGATCAGAACCACAAACTACTAAAATTAAAGTTCATAATAAACTTTTCTCTTAACAATGTCTTTATTTATTAACTCATTATCCAATAATATGCACTCTTCTTTAAACGATCATGTATAAAT